ATCTTTCCTGACCCATGTTTAATTTTTTTAAAAAAACATTCAGTGTTGGTTTTTATCTCTCTGTATGTTTGTGGCTCAAGTGGTTAAGATGCTGAACTGCAGGCTGTGGAAGGTCGGTAGTTCAGCAGTTCGAGGCCCGAGTGTGCCGCATGGCGGAGTGAGCTCCCGTTTCTAGTTCCAGCTCCTGCCAACCTAGCAGTTCGAAAGCAAGAAATTGCAAGTAGATAAATAGGTACCACTTCAGTGGGGTGACAGCGTTCTGTGCGCCTTGGTGTTTAGTCATGCTGGCCACATGACCACGGAAACGTCTTTGGACAGCGCTGGCTCTTCGGCTTTGAAACGGAGATGAGCACCACAACCCTAGAGTCGGATTCGACTGGCTTTCGAGCAAGGGAACCTTTACCTATACCTATGTTTGTGAAGCTCTGGTTTTAAATGTTTTCATGATGTGCAGGCCGGTAGCTACAGTGGGGTTATTCGGGGCTCCGCCCCCTTTCTGAAAGGGGCAGCCCCACAGGGCTTGGTTGGAGTCCCCCTTGTGAGTAAGGAACAGGAGAGGGAAGAGGACCGACCTGTACCGTTCAGTCCTGGCTGGGGAAAGGGGTGAGCTCTCAGAAGGGGGTGCCTTGGTTTCCCAGGCCTTTCCAGAGGCATTTGTCCACTCCGGCAGGGAATGGAAAGATAGGTGAGGGTTAGCAGAGGTAAGGGAGGAAGGGAACTTTGGCCCTCTGGTGGGTGACTTTAAGAGGCTTGCAACTCAGTTCCTTAAGACCGCGTTTCTTCCCCCCCACCATCTATCTTTAAAGTATTAAGGGTCTAGGGGAGACGGCTGCCGGGGTTCAGGCTCACAACTACACGTCCACATAGATTTGACAGCAGAGGTGTCAAAATGAGAGCCCCACTGCAAAGATGCCTAGAGCTGGACCGGTAAGTTCAGCCCCATCAGGAAACAACTTGCCCCACAAGCCTCAAAATTCCGGCTACGGATTCTGACCCTTCTCGTCAAGGCTGCGCTGATAGCGCTGTCTGGTTGAGCCAGACACGGATGAAAGCGAGCCTCCCTTAAGTTACCCATGTCAGCAAAGCAAAGCAAGCATGCGCGCGTGCGCAAGGGTCGGGGATGAAGGTAAACAAAGAAAGCATGGCAGCTAGCTGACATCCGCTGCTGTTGCTCTGGTTGGTTTTAATGGGTTTTTTTTAAGACGTGTTTTTATGATGTGTGTTCTGATTTGCCAGCTTCTTCGGTGACCCTTGTGAGGGCAGAAAGGCAAGATATAAATGTCCTAGAATAAATTTTAAAATGAATAAATAATAAAGAGAAGGACGGCAAACGTCAGCCCTGGATCTCTGTCCCAGCTAGGGATGCCGGCCTCCACGTGGGTCCCGGGGATCCCCTGGAATGACAACTTATCTCCAAACGACAGAGATCAGTTCCCCTGGAGAAAATGGATGCTTTGGAAGGTGGGCTCTATGTGTGAGTGCTGTGCAGCCCGACCCCGTAGACCCTGACCCCGGGGATTCTGCGCCCTCAACGTCTGAGGGTGAGCTCCCTGCACCCCTTGAATCACCAGACCTAAGTCTTGTGGAGGATGAGCACCAGCTACGAGGAGAGTTTACACCTGGAGCCGCGCCGGCAGAGCCAAGCACAAGAACCACGCCTCCTGATTTCCCCTGCACTGGTGGCTCGTTTGTGCGATCAGAGGCGACGGGATATGGCAACCCGGCGTAAGGAGGCGTGCATGCGAGGTCGGTGTCCTCTAAGCCCAGAGTACTGACCGGAGCCAGGACCCTGTTAGCAGCTGGAAATTGGCTAACAAGCCGACCGGGCTTTTTAGGCGTCTCTCTCAGATTCCCAACTCGTGCTGGCAACTAATCGCATAGAAGAATCGCTGCACCCCGGATCCTGCATTCCTGTCTCCTGGTTTTCATTCTGACTTCCCGGCTCCTGACTTTGGCTTGTGTGACGTTTCCCGGCTCCCTGACTTCGGACTGTGTATCCTGACTTTTGACGAACGGCTTTCGGCTTCTGAAATCTGCTTGCAATCTCCGGTAACCCTAGACTGTGTTTTGACTTGGTATTTTGGACTCTGCTCACATTACTCTGTCTCATCTGGTGCCATGACCCCGGACTGTGTTTTGGACTTTCCGTGCGCTGCCTGGCCCGCCAGCGCAATCGTGACACTATGGCACAATACCCTGCTGAGACCCCTCCCACTACCCTCCCTAGGCTCCACCCCCAAAACCTCCGGGGATTTCCCAACCCGGAGCTGGCACCCCGTCCCACCCCCCCTCGGTATCCAAGGAGGACCTGGCAACCCTAGTCCCGCCCCACCTCTGCTTCAGGGCAAGGATCTCCATGGGCTCCGGTTCCAGGATCTCGTAGGCCAGGTTGACGTCCTCCGTCTCGCGCAGCAGGGCATAGATCGGCTCGATCTGCTCGTTAAACCGGGCCACCAGGGTTCGGGCGTCCTTTTTGGGCATGGCCGACTCATCTTCCTCCACTTCGGTCTCGCAGAAGGTACAGCGGAAAAGTCCTAATGGGAGAGAAGCCGCAAATTTATTATT